TATGATATGATATGATATGATATGATATGATATGATATGATATGATAAAAAAGGAGAGGTGCACTGGAAGGAGTGTAAGAAATGAATCACAGCAATGGTACCAGAACTTGAGACACTGTCTTCAGGAAAGACTGAACATGCTGGGGCTCCTATCTCCAGGAAAGACAAATCTGAGAGTTAACGCAATAGACTTAAAAATTATGAAGTCTGAATATTCGATTTGTTGAGTAGAGGAGATATTTTCACTTGTGAAGGAGACTGAAAATATGGCTTGTAAATATCAGACAATCATAAATCTAACACAAAATTCAGAAGATTCCTTTTTACCCACAGAGTGTTTGGCTATGAAACTTGCTACTGCAATGAGTGGTTGAAGCAAATAGCACAGGTGCAAATAAGGGAAAGTTAGATAAACACACAAGGAAGAAAAGAATAGAAGGACCCGCAGATAGGGTTAGCAGGAGTGGGAAGAGATTCCTATAGAAATGTCAACATGGATGTGGACCAGTATGGCCAAATGATCTAGTTCTATGCTGTAGATTGAATGTGACTTTTACAAACATGTTGGGAGTGTTGGTGATTGCAAAGAAATGATTGCAAAGAAATGCCCAGAACAGCTGCACTAAACTTCGTGTACTTTGGCCCTTCAGTTGAAAGGATGGAATTGGGCACAAATTGAAGACCTCAAAGACTGTAAAACATGGTTATTTCTCGATGTGCAGGGTCCACCTCTGTACTGCACTGCAGACACATTGCACAACATCGCTGGCACATGCAATGCAACTACAATGCACCACAGAGGCCACCATCTTCCTCCTTTCTGAAAGACCTGAGCACACTTCTACCCTGAACGTGAACATAAAGGCCTTCCTTGCCAAAAGCAGCAGAATTTCCAATGCTGCAGAAACAGATTCACATGGTGATGCAGCAATGAAAATCTGCTGCTTTGGCACACAAACTACATCTCAAAGCGGGATGAAATCAACAAACAAAATTGTACCTTGTGCAGGTTGGTATCCTGATGCGAGCTGGAGACAGACAGAGTGTTCCACAAGTATCCACTGGCCCTTTCACAATGTAGAAATGTTGTTTGATGAGCCTCTCGTTTCCCCAACAGACTTCCTTGCATAGCCTTGTAAATATGAAGAATTGCCTTTGGTAGTGAGCTTCTAGAAACAATGTTGCAGGACACAATGAACAAATAAGTTGGGTAATAATGGACGCAGCACAAGAATCATATGTCTTTTGAGTGTTGAATTAATTGTCTTTTTCTAGTGGAATGAACAGGCTGGAGTGCAGGCTACAATATAACACAGTCGTAAACTAAATTGGGGCTTTACAAGCTGAATGACTGCCTTCAGCGCTATGGTTTACACGTTTTTGCCTTCAGGATCATCATTTCACAAAACCAGGATTCAGGGAACAAGTCATTCCGCATGTGACAAGATAAGCATGCAGTGCCAATATGCACATGCACACAATCACAAACCTTTGAAGGTGTGATTCACTTTAGAATTTTGGGGAAGCAATATTAAAATAACAAGGGCATAACATGATTCAACCGAATTCAGTCCCAACTATCATAGCTAAAATGGTTAAAATATGAAGACAGATTATATGGGCTAAGGCTTGTATATACAAGGTTATTTGAGATGTTTCAGATTAAAGGAGTTGAAAGAGTCAACAATAACAATGCCGTCCAGTGGGAGAGTATAGAACAAGGGGGGGAGAAAATCTCAAACTTAAAACTGGGCAATCAGCAGTGATGTCAGGAAGTAATTCTTCCTGCAAAGAATAATGGAAAACTGGAAATATGTCACTTAGTATCTATTGAAGCTGGGAGCAATTGGAGATTTCAAAACTGATATTGATAGATTTTTAGTAGCAAAGATTGGAAGAGTTAGAGAATCAAGGTCAGTAGAGGAGTGAAGATTCAGATCAATCTTACGGCAAAAACAGATTCAAAGGGCAGAATGGCGTATTCACATTTGAGTAAGTGATAACTATTTTGGTGTAGGACTTTCCTTTCAAGTGAAACATTAATAATTTTGATAGAAGAGAATTATTCCAGATCTCCAAAACAGTTTACCACTGTGTAAAGGCATCATCCTTTAGCCGTATACCATTCGTGGAAAAGCACTGACTTACTCAGACATCTGCAGAGACTTGGGGATTCGTTCCACTTCAGCAGACAATCCTTTAGCTTTCAAATCATCACCCTGAAGCCAGTGTACAGCAAACATAACAACAGCTGTCCACCATTTACTGACAGAGTCTGGACCTGACAACAGGACAGAGGATAAAATTTACTGGCACAGCAATTACTTATTCTAATGAAGATGCTCACGTAAACATAAAGTATGTTTATATTTTCACACAAAGCATTCTTTCTACTTAAGAGGGTAAAGAACATCTGCCAATTACTTCAAGTGGCTTCTATGTAGTATGGTTCTACCTAAGTAATTTCAGTTGTTCAAACACAAAGCCGGGGTGGGGGTGTCTTAATTGCTAAAGTATTAGTTCGCAAAGAATGTACATAATCTGCAGAAGGATTGTACTTGTTGGCGAGAATGATACTTTGCCATTTACTGTTTGTCCTTTTTTGAAAAAAGAACACTTCAGGTCATTTATGTTTAAGCTATGGTATCTCAAAATTTAATCGTTCCAGGTTATGTCCTCACCTGTGGTTGTTCTCAGACTGGCATCAGTGGCAAATGCCTGTGTTAAACTCCTTGTTGTGTCAGCACAAGTGTTAAGTAACTGTAAGTACTCAAAGGCATTAGTGGACTCCCTGCAACAGACGATACACCATCCTTAATATACTATAATTATTAAATCAGGAACTGAATGAAATGTGTTGATAGGATGATTAAGGACATTTTTAGTTTTTACTTCACAACAGCTTAGATTTATACATAAAATCAAAAACAGAAAATATCACGAACACTTAGAAATCAGGCAGCATTATTTCAAGTGAATAGCTTTTATCTAGGAGGAGAAATCCAGTTCCGAAGAAAAGTCACATCAGAATCAAAACATTAACTTTTCTCTCCACAGATGCTGACAGACCTGCTTAGTTTCTTTAGCACTTTGTTTTTATTTCAGATCTCCAGCATCCGCAGTATTTTGATTTTATTTGAAGCTCCTTAAAAATTTTGAATGTTTCAAGGAGATCATGTTTAAATTTTCTACATTCATGATAATATGTGCCCAACTTACTCAGCATCTCATCACAGGGACCACGAGTGAACTTTTTCTGCACTGCCTCCAATGCAGATATACCCTTCCTTAAATGTGAAGGTCAAAGTGCACAAAGCATTGCAAATGCAATCTCAAAGTCCTGCACAATTGTAATAAGACTTCTTTATTTGTTTACTCCAATCCTCTCGTAATAAAGGCCATTGTGTCATTTGCCTTCCTAATTGCTGTACCTTTACGCTAACTTTGTGCTCCTTGTATAAGCACACGTAAGTCTCTCTGAACATCAACATTTACAAGCTTTTAAAAAAATGTTCAGTTTTTCTACTCATATAATTAAAATGAACGTCATACCTCCCCCTATTATGCTGTATTTATTTTCAACAAAATGAGCTACTTCTTGTAGAAAGATTAAGTACAGCATCACAGTTCCCTGCTAAACACTTTATATTGATGATGGGTTCAAGTCAGAACTGAACAATGTATCGTAACTTGAAGCATCATTGTTAATAATAATGACAAGTCTGACTTTGTTAATTCCTACACAGAAGCTGGAAAATGCAGGGCAACTCAACAAATGTATTATACTTGTGCCATATTCCTTGGCCAAACTATAACTAGATACAAAATCATCCTCCCTTCTAGATGGGAACAGATTTAAAGGTCATTAGAACATTTTTTATAAAACCAGTTACCACAAAGTGTTGCGAATGGTCTCCTAATTTTGCCACTGTACACTAAACTGTCGATCAGCTACCGCTTCTAAGCTCAGCCCACCTGAAATATGCACTTTAGACCACAGATGCCATTGAACATACCCAGCTTCCTCGGTCTCTGGCTTAAGCAGCGAGTACACAGCTCTTTCAAGCAGATTTTCACAGAATGCCTGGTTTACCTGGGCTACTGGATCAACTGCAAGAGAAAAATAAATAAGCAATACTGTATTACAAGTGGTCATCTCCAGGTATAGGACTGGCAGACTAAATGGATACAGATTACATATTAGTTTAAATGGAATGACATTATTGTAAATAGATCATCTTGTTAACACAGAAGGAACAAAGTCAAGCATTTTTCATAAGAATCGCCTCCTAGATCAATAGGCAATCAAGAGTATGATTAACAGAATGATCTCTAGTTTGTTCATCAGTATCAGTTTCTCCACATGTATTTCCTGTCTAATTTTACCCTATCTTCATGTATGCCATATCCCATTTACACTGTTATTTACCACAAGAGCTGTTCAAGTTCCAGGTTTCTGCCAAAGTGTCTCTTATAGACTCAAAGGTTTACAGCACAGCAGGAGGCTATTTGGCCCACTGTGTCCACGCTGGTCAACAAAGATCTGACTGCACTAATCCCATTTTCCAGCTTTTGGCCCAAAGCTCTGAAAGCTATAGGAACACAAGTGGCTATCTAAATACTGCTTAAATAACATGAGTGTTTCTGACTCAACCACCCTTTTAGGCAGTGAGTTTCTGACTTCTATCACCTTCTCATTGAAAAAAAATTCTTGACTCACCTCTTGGTCTTGTACCTCTTATCTTAAATCTATGGCCCCTGGTTACTGATCCCTCTACTAATGAAAGAAGTGCCTTCCTATTCAGCCCACCTATGATCCTCAATCTTATATACCTCGATCAGATCTCTAACTTTCTCTGTTCCAAGCTCAGTCTATCCAATCTTTCTATATAGCTCAGACCCTCCAACCCAGACAGCATCCCAGCAAATCTCCTCTGCACCCTTTCTTCTGCATTCACATCGTTCCTATAATGTGGTGACTAAAACTGCACACAGTATTCTAATTGTGGCCTAACCAATGTTTTATACATGCCAGCATATTGAAAGAGGAGATTAGGTGAACATGTGCAGAGAAGCACTTGGAGTGGCCAACTACAATTAGGCAGTTTATGCAATTGTCTTTAAATAATGTAGCAGTAAGATTAAAGCCTGGTATATCTATTTACCATGTATTGTAGTATTTAGTCTTTATATATGATAAACAAAATATTATAAAGGAAGCCCAAGCCTGAAGATAGTTCTTAACCTTGCCTTTTCCTCAAACAGCCTATCTTGAACTCAAGGATGTGGGCAGAAAACTATATAACAAAGGGAGGACAGATTGTTTGACTGCGATGTGGTCAGTTTACCAGGGGCAGTACCGTACTGGCATCTTATTCAGCATTACTTACCTGGATTTCGAAGAGAGCTGAAGAGACTCTCTCGCGGAGCAGATTTAAGTGACCAATCACATTCCACAAAGAACTGGCGTCCCAGGGGATGGAAAAGCCAGTGCTGGGTGCCTGGATCAGAGACCTTCTGGGCTCGGCGCAGGAAATAGCGCTAGAGATGTAAAGGAAATAAACAGATTACAACATTCCTTTAAAATTTCACAACACTCCTTTATTGGCAGTCTCACCAGCAATGTGTACAAGTTAAAGAATGAGGCCTTTAGCATTCATACATCATCTTTGTAACTTGAGGCTCCACATTCATAATGAAGCCTGCAATTTACCTTCCAATGACCAGTTTCATTGGCTTCTAGTTAGAGCTCGCAAACTGAACCCACTTTGAGAAGTCCAGAGTTAGAAGGACCTTCTTCAGTCATCCCCAACATCAGTTAATGTTAGGGCTTTGGAGAGTGTTGCTGAACAAAGACCTCAGGGTGCAGGTTCACAGTTCCTTGAAAGTGGAGTCGCAGGTAGGCATGGTAGTAAAGGTGCTTGGTTTGCCTGCCTTTATTGGTCAGTGGAATGTCTTGTTACAGCTGTACAGAACATTGGTGAGCCCAATTTTAAAATACGATGTACAATTCTGGTCATCCTTCTACAGGAAGGATGCTGTAAAACTTGAGAGGATGTAGAAAGGATTTACAAGGATGTTGCCAGGACTGGCGGGTGTTTGAGTCATAGGGAGAGGCTGAATAGGCTGGGGCTTTTCTCCCCAGAGTTCAGAGGCTGAGGGGTGATCTTATGGAGGTTTAAAACATCATGAGGCACATAGATAAGGTGACTAGCCAATGTCTTGTGCCTAGGGTGCATGTATGCGCATGTGTAGATTAAAACGAGACAGCGTAGGTTTAAGGTGAGACAGAAAAAAGACCTGAGGAGTAACTGTTTCACGCAGAGGGTTGTGTGTGTATGGAACGAGCTGCCACAGGAAGTCATCGAGGTGGGTCCAATTACAACATGTAAAAGGCATTTGGATGGGTACATGAATAAGTAAGATTTAGAGGGATATGGACCAAATACTGGAAAATGGGACTAAGTCAGATTGGAATGTCTGGTCAGCACGGTGATTTGGACTGAAGGGTCTGTCACTGTGCTGTATGACTCTGTGATTCCACTATACCCAGACTCCTACTGATCCCCTGCCCTGAAGCTAAGTGTCAGCATTACATGAACAGTAATTGCATATACTGTCTGCGATAATCCAACTCAGCATCTACTCACCGATAAAAACGTCAGTTTGCCTCCAAAGTTGGTTTTAAAGCAAATGGCAGCTGTAATATAGATTTCCGTCATGAGGGTTTGGGGGATTTTCTCCTCTGCACATTCTGCCAGGTTAACTGCAGACAAAGCAAGGCTTATGGCACGCACTGGACTCTGCACCAATTTATCTACATTAACAACAGGAAAAAGAAATTATTTCCACCTATGCAGCACTGTGTACTTCATCGTTCAACTCCACTTGGAATTTCTGAACAAGGGAAATACAATTTTATCCAAAAACATTCATTGATCAACTGCTTCCAGGTGAAGGACAAGTGAAAGAACAAATTTATTGGGCTGGATTTTCAGCGTTTTAAAGATTTCAGACCTTTGTATAAACAGTGAATGGGACCCAATTCCAGAATTCCCACCCATATTTCTGGCGTCCCTGATCTTCCTTGCTGTGGAAATTTCCGACCTGGTCAGATCTTATTAGTGGATCATATCTCTATACAAATTTTGCAGAGTTGGGTCAGCTTCTCCTCAGAAGAATCATGACTCATAATCAGATTCTTTTAAAAGGAAAAGGTCAAAAAGCCTCATCCATGGTCCCCACTCATTGTGTCCTTTCCTATTCAGAGCCACGTCACACTATATCTCCTCACCCCCATTGTAGGGTTTTTAATGGCCCACAAGACAGTGTCTCTATGGCTTCAGCAACCAGAGAAAGGGAAAGCAGTTCCTTAGGTCTCTGATTCTTACCCAAAAGATCCTGCTACGGTACCTGTGCGAATTAATTAGGGTAACATTTGCTCATGAAACAGGAAGAGTTAAAACCCTCCAACTAAGCAGGCATGGAAGGAAGGGACTGAGGAAGTGAGCAATAGGTGTGGGATCTTTTCAATCTAGATACAATGTCCCAAATGGTTTAAGGACCTTGGGAGAGCAGGAAAAGGAGATTGGTATAACACTTCCAGCTGTCAAACTTCATAAACACTTCCCCAGCATTCTGATGCATGACAATCCTCAGAATAATACATGTTACAGCTTCACTCATTCTGTCCAAATACCTTCTCACAGTCACATCCAAAAAACAACATTCACACATAGCTTTGTGTCATCTCATACCCATAACTCTGTCACTGTTCACAAATGTTGTCCGTATCCCACTCCCTCCAAACAATTAAACCATCTCAGATCCTGAGATGGAAACATAGAAAAGCATGATTGCAGCAGGAAAAGGCATTCAGCTCCTCAAGTGTCCCAGAATTACAATTGGAGCAGCATGATCTTATTGAACTTCAAATCCATATTCCTGCCTACCCCTGGTAATCTTTCAGCTCCTTTCTTAATAAGAATCTATCTACCTCTGCCCAAAATTTTTCAGGAAGAGATCCAAAACACTCTTGACCCTCATAGGAAAAAGTTTAACTAATCTCGGTTTTAAATTGGCAACGCCTGTTCTGTTTTAAAACAATCCCTGTGGACACTCAAAATCTATCCTATGAAGACCCTTGAGGATCTTATCTATTTCAATCCAACCTTTCCTCATAGGACAACCCACCCATTCCAGGTATTAGTTTAGTAAACCTTCTCTGAACTGCCTCCAAAACATATATGTTCTTTGTTAAATAGAATGACCAATATTGTTCCACGTGCAGTGGCACCAGTACCCTGTATAACTGAAACATAACCTTCCTACATTCGTATTCAATTCCACTCGCGATAAATAACATTCTATTAGTTTTCCTAATTACTTGCGGTACTTGCATATTAATCATTTGTGATTTGTACACAAAGACATCCAGATAACTGTGCATCTCAGAACAATGCATCTCTCACCATTAAGAATATATGTTTCTAATTTATCCTTACTGCCAAACGGACAATTTCACATTTCCCACATTATATTCCATTTGCCACATATTTGTCTACTCACATAACATATAAATATCTTTTTGCAACTTCCTTGTACCTTCTTCACAACTTACTTCCCCACCTAGCTTTGTACCATCAGTGTATCTGAAAACCGTACCTTCTGTTACCTCATCCAAATCGTTTATATAAATTGCAAATGTGAGATTCTAGCACAGATCCTGTGGCACGCCAATCAATACATCATGACAACCTGTTAAAAGACCCTATCCCCTTCCTAACTCCCTACCTACACTCACCTTTACTGGCTCCATCCCCGCCTCTTCGACCTGTTTGTTTCCTCTCCACCTATCCTCCCCTCTATCCCTCTTCTATCCGCCTCCCACTCTCTACCTATTTATTTCAAAACCCCCTTCCCCTCCCCCTTTTCTGATGAAGGGTCTAGGCCCGAAACGTCAGCCTCTCTGCTCCTATGATGCTGCTTGGCCTGCTGTGTTCATCCAGCCCTGCACCTTGTTGTCTCCATTTACATCTACACTTTGATTCCTATTAGCCAGCCAATCTTCTATCAATGCCAATATGTTACTCCCATAACATGAGCTTTTATTTTCCGTAACCTTTTGTGCAGCACCTTATCAAAGCCTTCTGAAAGTCTAAGTAATGTTTATCCACCAGTTCCACTTTATCATGGAACATGTTACTTCTTTGAAGAATTCCAATAGATTGGTCAAACATGATCTCCCATTCACAAAACCACTGACTCTGCCTGATTACCTTGAACGTATTCAAGTAGCTTGCTATACTTCTTTAACTTTAGCTTTAACATTAAAAAAATTGTTTTGCTGAAAAAAAGACATTTTGTTTAAGCGATGCCGCTACCAAATAGAGTCTATTTGTTAACCAATCAGTACTCACTTCTCATACAAAATAATTATTCTCATTTATGTTGGTATTCTTGTGAATGTCCAGATAAGTGTAAGAGGAACAGCTTTGACAAAGTGTATCTTTTTCAGCAATACCCAAGTTCTATGCTACCAAATTACTTTTTGCTATAAAACTGTTGAATAAGTGAAGACGTATCATCTGTACTCAGAGGTGAAATACATTGTTTGATTTAATTTATTATAGTCATAAGTATCTAAGTACAGTGAAAAGTTTTGTTTTCCGTGCTGTACAGGCAGATCATAATATACAAAGATCATAGGGTGATTGAACAGAGCAAGGAATACAAAGTTATGGCTGTAGAGAAGATGCACACAAAGCAAGATCAACATTAGATTTGAAATTTGAGAGGTCCATTCAGAAGTCTGGGTTGGTGACGTTCTAGAACTTATTAAGATCAATAAGGAGGAGATATTAAATGTTTTAGTGGGTGTACAGGTGCATAAGTCTCCAGGGCCTGATGAGATGTATCCCAGGCTGCTATGGAAGGCATGGGAGGACATTGCTGGGGCCCTGGAAGATATATTTAATACTTTGCTGGACAGGGGTGAAATGCCAGATGATTGGAAGATAGCTGATGTGGCTCTTTTGTTCAAGAAGGACAGCAGAGATTGACCAGGTATTTACAGATCAGTTAGTCTGACATCAGTTGTAAGGAAATTATTGAAAGAAATTCAGAGGGACAGGATTAATCAATCAACATTTGGAAAGACAGAGATTGATCAGGTGAGTTTTTTGAGGAGGTGACAAAGAAGATTGATGAAGGCAGAATTGTAGATGTCTATATGGACTTCAGCAAAGCGGTTCTGCACGGTAGACTGGTGAGTAAGATTTGATCACATGGGATCCAGGGGGAGCTAGCCATTTGGATAGAAAATTGGATTGAAGGTAGGCGCCGAGTACGGTGATGGAGGATTCCTTTTCAGACTGGAGGTGTGACACCAGCGGCGTGCCACAAGGATCAGTGCTGGGTCCACCACTTTTCATCATTTGCATAAATGATTTGGATGTGAATACAGGAGACATGGCTAGCAAGCTTGCAGACAATATCAAAATACGTGGTGTAGTGGACAGTGATGATTATCATCTCAGTACAACGGGATCTTGATCAGATGACTGGCAGCTGGAGTTTAATTTAGATAAATGTGAAGTGCTGCATTTTGGTAAGACAACCAGAGCAGAACTTGTCCTTGTTGTGGCTGTGTAGGACACTGGTGAGGCTACTCTTAATATACTGCGTTCAGTTCTGGTCTCCCTTCCGCTGAAAAGACGTTGTTAAAGTTGAAAGGATTCGGAAAAAAATTTACAAGAATGTTGCCGGGACTGGAGGGTTGGAGTTATAGGGAGAGGCTGAATAGTCTGGTGCTTTTTGCCCTGGATCGTCAAAGACGGAGGGATGATCTTAAAGAGGTTTATAAAATGATGAGGGGCATGAATAGATTGAATAGCCAAGATCTTTTTCCCAGGATAGGGGAATCCAAAACTAGAGGGCATAGGTTTAACGTGAGAGAGGAAAGATTTAGAAGGGACCTGAGGGGTAACTTTTTCACACAGAAGGTGGTGCATGTATGGAATGAGCTGCCAGAGGAAATGGAGGCAGGTACAATTACAACACTTAAAAGGCATCTGGATGGATATATGAATAGGAAAGATTTAGAGGGATATGGGCTAAATTCTGGCAAATGGGGCGAGGTCAGATTAGGATATATGGTCAGCATGGATGAGTTGGACTGACGTGTGTTTCCATGCTATATGGCTATGAATGATCAGCATCAAATTTGTTAGCGGGAGATCCTGTATGACTAATTTAATTGCATTTTTGAAAGTGAGACTAAATATGTTGATCAGGGCAGTGCAGTTATGTGGTTCATATGGACTACAGTAAGGTCTTTCACAAGGTCCAACATGGATGGCTGGTCCAAAAGGTCAGAGCCCATGAGATCCCAGGCAAGTTGGCAAACTGGATCCAAAACTGGCTTACAAACTGGAGGCAAAAGGTGATAGTGGAAGGCGGTTTTTCAGATTGGGAGCCTGTAACCAGTGATATACCACAGGGATCAGTGCTGGGACGCTTGCTATTTTTTATGTTATGTTTTGTTTGTTATTATTAACTTGGATGTGAAAGATATAATTAGTAAGTTTGTAGATGACACAAAAATTAGTGGTGTTGACTGGGAGGATGGTCTCAGGCTACAATCTGATATTGATCAACTGGTATATTATAGATCCCTGAAGGTGTCAGCACAGGTAAACAGGGTGGTGAAGATGACATACAGGATTGCTTGCCTTCATTAGCAAGGGCTTAGAATATAGGAGCAAAGAAATCTTGTAACAACTTTATATAACATTGGTCACACTACAGATGGAACACTGTGTGCAATTCTGCCTGCCATGCTATCAGAAGGATGTGATTGCACTGTGGGTGCAGAAGAGATTCAGGATGTTGCCTGGGATGAAAAGTCTCCGTTATAAGGAGAGACTTGATAGGCTGGATTTGTTTTCCTTCGAGCAGATGAGGCTAGACGGGTAATCTGATTGAGGTAAACAAAATTATGAGAGGCACTAGAGTAGATTGTGAGAATCTTTTCCCCATGGTAGATTGTCTAAGACCAGTGGGAATAAGTTTAAGGTTAGGAGTAAAAGGCTTAGAGGAGACCTGAGAAAAATGTTTTTCACTTAGAGTGATACAACTATGGAATGTTCTGCCTGAGAGTGGGGTCAAGGCAGGTACACACACAGCATTTAAGAAGCATCTGATGAACACTGAAAATGCCAGCAGGCTACAGACCAAGTGCAGATAAATGAGATTAATATAGTTTGGTGTTTGTTGGTCAGCAGGGACATGGTGGGCCGAAGAAGCTGTTTTTCTTCTGTATGAATCTATGACTTTAACTAGACCACTAAGATATCAGTAATAGAAGCTTTAAGTACTGGACATCTCTATCTTGAGCAAATAAACATTGAGTCAACGTCAAGAGATCTCAGAAAAATAGCTGTTTGAGACATCATGAAGCTGTCAATCAAGCAAAGTCAACACTTCTTCCCAGTTATACAAAGTTAATATTTTTATGAGAACCAAGGATTAGCTGCATAATAAGACTTACAAGATGCAAGGCAATTGCCAAAAATCACAGGACAGCTTAAGAGAATTTTCTATAGATATAGCAACACAGCCAGTGATTGTGATTTATAATACATGGCCTGCAAGGGTGGTAGAAGCAGATTTAATCATAATTTTCAAAATCAAATTAGATGAATACCTAAAGGTGATTATAATTTAGGATGATTAGGGAAAAAACAGAGGTGTTGGATGAATTGGATAGCTCCTTCAGAGAATGAACAAGTTTGATGGACTAAATGACCTCTTTCTGTGATGTGAGACTCCATGTTGAAATGCATTAAAGTACCTGTTAATTGCAGCTGATGTAATTTATGATAAACTAGGGCAGCATCACGTGCACTCATTTTGGCCTCTTCTTGGAGCTGTGCCTCCTGCCGAAACCCTCTGGTCCACTTTAAGAGCCAGCGTGTAAACATCAGTTTCTGGACACTGTGCCGAATGATATTCCAGCAGAGGCTACAGGCCAAATCCAACCGCGAGGCAGGCAATGCCCGTCCCAGTGCTAACAAACAAGTCTGCAAGTTTCCTGCAGCCGCAGTAAAGGCCCCCTGCAAGAAAAAACACATTTCCAACTTGCAACTTGATCACGTCATTTAATGTAATTCACAGATTCAGGTCTTCATGGATACTATATTGAAAGATGCTCAAGAACAAGCCTTACAAATATATTCAAATTAGGTACCACGGTGATACACATGAAGTTCCTTTCTCCAACAAGCAGTTGATTGTTTTAGTAACAACTCAGATGTCAGGTTTCATTGGAAAATTCCAGCCACTGTGCCAAATAGCGCATCTTCAACCCCTTTTACACCAGGAGAACACATTGCATTTTCAGCATCAGCCGTCCAGTCAGATTGCCAATTTAGGGACAACTTAAAGTTAGAGCTGATGCTGACAAGACATTGATTTGAGTCTCTTGAGACCAATTTCATGTAGGGCTCACAACTGGTGTAGTAGACTTTCACTTGAAACAATTTGGGCTGGATTTGAAACTCCAATTGCAGAAATAAAAGAACAGTTCTGAACCAACCTTGCCTACCAACCTCTTGTTTAATGTATAAAAAGTTTAGAGGGCAGAACATTTGAAGCCATTTATTGTCATTTGTCAAGTCACACTTGGAAGATTTCCCACCATGCAAGAACAACCTGGATTTAGCAGCCTCAACCCACTCACCCAGGTCTATCTGCCCGATCCTGGAGAAATAATAAACTTTACTTGAAATTCAGCTTCATGGCAACACGTTTCCCCTCTGAAGGGCACGCAGTCCGAGCAGTAACAGCAGGGATCAGACAGCTGCTGACTGTTGGTTGGCAGGACTACTTGGAAAGTGACAGGAAATGAAAAAGTGGCATCTCAAGACAAATAAAGGCCCAGCACCCATTATGTGACTGTGGGGTGAGCTGGCTAAGCAGGCAATTTTACAGACAAGGGCAGCAATTGGATTGGTGGCTCAAAATACTTTGTCCACTCTCAGTTGGAATGTTGGGTGGCACAGCAATCTCATTAATGGTTATCTACAGTCAAATGAGAAGAATTTCAGCTCTCATTACACAGCTACCCCACTGCCAAATTTCAATGATCTTGATTAATCATCAAATTTTATGTAATTTTTTAGCATCTAGTCCAAAATATATCTGGACTAAATACATTCAGATATACCAGACTTTTAGCAGCAATGGCTTTGAATGTATAACAATGATGAGAACATTGTCCTTTCATTGCTGACCAACACATAGTACTTCATGTTAATGACTACAAGTATCAACATCAAACAAGTGGACCCACACCAATTCTATCTCGATCCCCAGCGTACAATTATAGAATTCAAAAAAAAAACCTTCCCAAAATTTCCTTAAATTACTTAAATTAATGGGTGAAATAGAATAAAATTCTTTAGTAGTGTACAAGTTGAGTGTTGAGTGGAATGACCTGTTGCCAAAGCTTTATATCAAAATAAATACAAAAATGTCAAATTTTGACAATTTTTAAGTTTGGCATTCTTGCATTTACCGAGTGCAGATGACAAGTTTCAGCAGCATGATTCTCTCTTCAACAACATAGATGCAAATAAACACTTGCACATACAGCCATCTCTATAACTTTGAGGTTTTGCCATAGCTCTTCAAAAAGCTCTCGTTATTCACTGTAAAATATTTTTAGAAACTTCATATTTCATCAACTTGAATTACCCTCTAGTCTTAAAAAAAGTACTCAAGATCATTGCAAGGAACAATTGGGTTATGATTACATATGGTATCTCCTCAATTCCAACCAAATGAAATGCATACCCTGGACAGATCAAGATCTGCTTGTTTTCGATGTCTCCAGAACGTAACAGAGGACTGAGAATGGAGGCGCGTAATTGGTTCACCATAAATGAAGAGTTTTACAAATACACTCAGTACAATGACCCCATTCACCAGCCAGAGGATTAATGTGGGCAGCATCCAATCAAACCAGCGTTTTGTATCTCCTAAAAACAGATAGAAAAGGGTACATTACAAAAACGGAGAGATGGCAACACCACAGCATTTTAATATTTAAACTGCATAAATACATAATTCGAAGGGTCTATGAAATTAAAACCCTCTTATGAAAGAGGCTATAGTTGAATTGATCCAAGAACCCATTAAGATATGAATATTACCAATGCATATACTATTGTATCTCTCATGGTGTTTGTCAGTTAGTAGCATTGATTCACCTATTAAGGTTTTAAAACCTTACATAGCCATTTCTGCCAAAATTGCACATATGAACACATTGCAGAACCCTGTCCAACGTGTTTCCAGTTTGCTATCTAACTTTAAAACTCATTCAGGTTACAGGAAAGATGTATAGTTATATAGCTCATATCCCATTCTCAAAGTCACAAAGCGCTTCAGAGTTGGTGAATTACTCTTAAAAGTGGACTCTCTGTCAATATATCAACTTGATCACACCAAGGTCTCAGCAGTGAGATTAAATGACAAGTTAATGACCCCAATCTATCAGTCAGAGGTAAATCAAAGGATTGGCTGCCAAATGCATTTGATAAAGTGCCATCACCTTCATCGCAATGCTAATGTTGTAAAAAATTGGGGCTTTTTGGCAGGGTGGGGGTTGGTTGCTGGTTAGCTGATGTAGAAGAGGTCTGTAAGCGAACCAGTGGTGCTGGAGGGCTTTTCAAATTCTGGGCTTCAAGGGCTGCAGTTATAAGCAGGTTTCATGCCTGCTAGGAGCTGTCTTAAATAAGTCAATTTGTTGTAATGTAGCAACACTTGCAGTTATGGGACAGGAAAGTCTGGGCCAATCTCCTATTAATTGCAATGTTCAAACATGAATTTGGCCAAGTCACTGGGAGCATGGGCTGAAAAACATGCCAGTGGATTTTTTAATATCTAAACAGAAGAATATTGGAGGTAGGCAAAGCTTGAAGTGGTTCTGAGCAAGATGATTAATATAGTAGTGGATTAAAGGAATATTTCAGATAAGTTATTCAAGTGAAAAAAATTGGGCCACGGGATACATTCTGAAAGACAAGGGTGTAAATTGAAGGGAGTCGAGATGAAATTTCAGGGTTCAATGCAGAGTGGAAATGTGCTGTAAATCTGATGAATGACCAATGTAGAATACATTTTTAAATTGTGAGCAAAGTTAATTCAGTTTGCTTAACATCTGTAATGAGGAACAGTCTTGAATTAGGGACAAAGCTACCCCATTACTGAATAAAGATGTAATAAATGCAGCAAACTTTAAGAGACATAACTGTGCACAATAAACTTACAAGGATTTTTGAGAACATATTGGACATAATAACTTGAGGAAATGTAGCGGTTACATTACACTTGGACTTTAGGAAAGCCTGTAACGAGACATTCCGTGGGTGATTATTATAGAAGATAAAAGATATAAATTTGGAGACGTATAAAAGTTGAATTAAAGGCAGGAGAGGGGAGCTCAGGCTTTTTGGAGTAGTTAGAGATGACAGAATGGTAGTACTAAAGGCATACTGGCTTTTATTGCAAGTGAATTGATGCACAAAAATAAGGGAGACTTTCAACAGTTTTATTAGGCTTTGGTGAGGCCACAATACGAATACTGTGCATAGTGTTAGTCTCCTTACTTAATGGAGGCACTATAGTGAATGTTTGCTACATTCCAGTTCCTGGGACATTGAGAGGAGTGGATTACCATGGTGGGGGAATTCCAGAACACGGGAACACAGTCCTAAAAAGCTGATTATATTGGATTGAGGTGAGGAGCAATTTCATCCCTCAAAGTCAGAGTTCTAGAGCATAGAAACAGACCCTTTGGATCAACTTGTCCACACTGATCAGACATCCTGATCTGACCTAGTCCCATTTGCCAGCATTTGGGCCATATCCCTCTAAACTCTTCCTAACCTTATACCCATCCAGATGCTTTTTAAATGTCGTAATTGCACCTGCCTCCACCACTTCCTCTGGCAGCTCATTCCATACACAAACCACCACCTGCGTGAAAAAGTAAACTCTTAAGTGTTTTTTTAAAATCTTTCCTCTCACCGTAAGCCTATGCCCTCTAGATTTGGAGTGCCTCACCCTAGGAAAAGGATCTTGGCTACTCACTCTATCCATGCCCCTCATGATTTTATAAACTGCTATAAAGGTAACCTCAGCCTTTGACGCTCCAGGGAAAAAAGCTCCAACCTATTCAGCCTCTCCCTATAGCTCAAGCCCTCCAATCCCAGCAACATCCTTGCAAATCTTTTTTGAACTCTTTCAGGTTTAACAACATTTTTCCTATAGAAGGGAGATCAGAATTGAACGTCGTATTCTAAAAGTGGCCTCACCAATGTCCTGTACAGTCACAACATGACGTTCCAACTTCTGAACTCAATTCACTGACCAGGTAGGCAAGCATGCTAAACACCTTCTTCACCATCCTGTCCACTGCGAATCCACTTTCAAGAAACTATGCACCAGCACTCTTAGATTTCTTTGTTCGGCAACACTCCCCAATGCCCTGTTAGCTGTACAAATCCTGCCCTGGTTTGCCTTACCAAAATGCAACAGCTCACATTTATCTAAATTCAACTCCATCTGCCACTCCTTGGCCGACTGGTCAAGGTCCCATTGTACTCAGATAACCTTTTTTCAGTGCCCACTATGAATCTTTGGAAGTTTCTATTTCAAAGAGTTGTAAATACACAAGCATTGAACACATTTAACAGTTAAATCACTTTATTCTTAGTCTGTAGGGTAATCAAGGGATATCTGAGAGGGGGAGAAAAACAGAGCTGAGGCAGAAGATTGACTACAGCTGACTAGACTGCAGAGCAGTTCAAGGGGTCGTACAGTCTACTTCTATTTCTGATGCTTTTAGGAGTGCAAAATCTTCTACTAGGGCCAGTTCTGTTCACTGAATACATCAAAGATTTTTATGTAGACCTAGAGGAAGGTTGCCAAAATTTGCAGATGCTATCAAAATAGGATGTATAGTTAATTGTTTAAAATGCCAGAGGAAGCTGTAGTGAGAATTATTAAGATCAGGAGAATGAGCTAAAAACGACAAATGAAATTCAGTTACAGTAAATCTAAGAGGATTACTTTAGTTAAAAAGAAGCATAGTCCAGCACATGGACTGCAGTGGTTCAAGAAAGCAGTTCACCACCATCTTCTCAAGGGCAATTACAGAAGAGCAATGCAGCCTGCAACGCCCATATCCCATGAATGAATAATTTAAAAAAACAGCAATTACACTCTGAAGAGAGGTAGGTTTGGCCAGGATTAGGATTTTTTAGAAGTACAGATTCATAGGATATTAGATTCACTCCTTCAAAGTCTTAAAAAAGGCTAATGAAAATCTGTATTTCAGAGAAAGAAGTCCAGACTAGAAAAGCAAAGCAGTAATGATAATGCTGCACAAAACTTTAAGGAGACCTCAGTTATGGCATAACACCATTGGACATACAATGAGATATTCGAAAAGGTACAACACAAATTCACTAGAATGCTCCATGGCACAGGGAAATACAAAGGTCGAAAAATCAGGTTTCTGATCAGTGGTATAATGCAGATTCCAGGGTTACACAATTTTAAATCTTAACCACAAGATTAAAATAATGCAAAAAATGTGGCAGAGTAAATAAAAGTGGATAAAAGCAAAATACTGGAAATCTAAAAAAGAAAATGCAGGAAAATCTCAGCAGTTTAGGCAGCATCTGTTCAGAGAGAAGGAAAAGTTAACTTTTCAAGTCCAATATGATTCTTCTTCAGAACTCCAAAGAAGTTATATTTAACTTGAAATGTTAATTCTGTTTCTCTCTCTACAGATGCTGCTAGACCTGAGTTTCTCCAGCATGTCCTGCTTTTAGTTAAAACAAAAGCAGACTCTTTCCATTAATTGAAAGGTGAAGAAGTAAAGGATTATAGATACTAGACTCACAACAAACAGCAGGAGAAATGTGTCCACATACATCTGCAAGTCTGTGGAATGTACTTCCAGAGTCAGTGGCTGATGCAGAAACTTTATCAGTATTGAAGATTTAATTGAATAGGTGGATGAAAGAAAGTGGGGAGGAGAGGAGGTTGAAAAAGGCAGATAAACAGGATTGGAACTATATGTTTAAAAGAGGGCAAATAGCCCGTTTCTGTTTTACAACTTTCACGTGTTTCTACATATAAAGCTTTTACAAGTGAAAATCTTAGCAGGTAAACGAGAAACCATCACTAAAGCGTGGATCAGCAAACATGGCTGCAAAGATGGTGTCAGGGGGAGCATTTCAGATTCCTGGGGTATTGGGACCTGTACAAATTGGACGGGTTACAATTGGGCAGGACTGGGACTGATGTCCTAGGGGGAGTGTTTGGGGAGGGTTTAAACTATTATGCCAGGGAGATAGGAATCTCTGTAAAGAGTCAAAGAAGAAGGCAGCAAGGACAAAAACAAAAGCTGGAAAAGGGAATAAGAAATGCGATAGGCTGAGAAACCAAGGAAAAGATTCAAACAGGACTATTGAGAAAAATGAGGAAACCAACCACTGTTAAAAGGACGAGCTTAAAGGCTTTGTGCCTTAATGTGCAGAGCATCTGCAATAAAGTGGATGAACTAATCATGCAGATAGATGTAAACGGGTACGATATAACAGGGATTACGGAGACTCTGGGATGGAGATTATCAAGCCTTGGGGATTTATTGACCTTCAATTCCAACAATTTTCCCAGCACCATTTCTCTATTAATATTGATCTCCCTCAGTTATTCCCCCTCACTAAATCTTGCATTCATGGCTGCAGAGTAACCAGGGATAGGAACTGAATGTCCCAGGGTATTCAGTATTTAGGAAGGACAGGCAGAAAGGAAAAGGTGGCGGTGCGGCATTGCTGGTTAAAGGGGAAATTAACACAATAGGGAGAAAGGATATTAGCTCTGACAATGTGGAGTCTGTATGGGTAGAGTTGAGAGGGGGAAAAAATATTAGTAGGTGTCACATATAAATCCCCAAACTGCAGGGGTGATGTCGAGAATGGCATTAATTAGAGGTGCCTGTGATAATGGAATATTGGTGATCATGGGTGATTTTAATCTGCACACAGATTGGACAAATCAAATTAGCTCCTGGTGTGTATATGGGATGGTTTTCTTGACCAATATGTGGAGGAACCAACTAGAGAACAGATCATCTTAGACTGGGTGCTGTGTAATGAGAAGGAAATCATTGCCAATCTAGCTGTGCGAGACCCCTTGAGGAAGAGCAACCATAACAATGATAGAATTTTTTTTATCAAGGTGGAGAGTGAGGTTATTGATTCAGAGACCAGGGTGCTGAACCTTAATAAAGGAAACTACAAGGACATGAGGCGTGAGTTGGCCTTGATAGATTGGGGAGAGTTACTTAAAGGTATGACAGTCGATAGGCAATGGCAAACATTCAAGGAACACATGGAGGAACTGCAACAACTGTTTATTCCTATCTGTCGCAAAACCAAAAACGGGTAAGAGGCCAATCCATGGCTTACAAAGGGAATGATAGCATCCAATCCAAGGAAGAAGCATACAGATTGGCCAAGAAAAATAATAAATCTGAGGTTTGGGAGCAGTTTAGAATTCAGCAAAGAAGGACCAAGAAATTGATTAAGAAGGGGAAAATATAGAGTACGAAAGTAAGCTTACAGGGAACATAAAGACTGACACTCAGAGTTTCTATAGGTACATGAAGAGAAAGCTATTGGTAAAGACAAATGTAGGTCCCCTACCGACAGAAACGGCGGAATGTATAATAGAGGACAAAGAAATGGCTGAGGAACTGAATACATTCTTAGGTAGTCTTCACAAAAAGAGGACACAAATCAGATACAGAATTGTTGGTGGATGCAGGATTCAGTGAGACAGAATAACTGAGGGAGATCAATATTAGTAGAAAAATGGTGCTGGGAAAACGGTTGGGATTGAAGGCCAATAAATCCCCAGGGCCTGATAATCTACATCCCAGAGTACTTAAGGAAGTAGCTCTAGAAATAATGGATGCATCGGTGGTCAACTTCCAGGATTCTATAGACTCTGGAACAGTCTCTGCAGATTGGAGGATGGCTAATGTCACTCCAATATTCAAAAAGGGAGGTAGAGAGAAAACAGGGAATTATAGACTAGAGCGCTGAACATCGGTAGTGGGGAAAATTTTCAAATCCATTGTCAAGGATTTTATAGCAGAGCATTTAGGAAGCAGTGGCAGGATCAGTTAGAGTCAGCATGGATTTATGAAGGGGAAATCATGCTTGACAAATCTGTTGGAATTCTATGAAGATGTAAAGAGTAGAGTTGACAAGGCGGGGGTGGGGGCAGTTGATGTAATATATTTGGACTTTCATAATGTGTTTGACAAAGTCCCACATAAGAGATTAATGTGCAAGATTAAAGTGCATGGGATTGGGAAATGTGTATTGAGATGGATAGTAAACTATTTGGCAGACAGGAAACAAAGAGTAGGAATTAATGGGTCCTTTTCAAATTGGCAGGCAGAAAAGAGTGGGATGCGACAGTGATCAGTGCTGGGACCCCAGCTGTTCACAATATATATTAATGATTTGGATGAAGGAACAATATGTAACATGTCCAAGTCTGCAGATGATACCAAGTTGGGTGGGAGGGTGAACTGTGACAAGGATGCAGAGATCCTTCAGCATGATCTTGACAGGTTGGGTGAGTGGGCAAATCAACAGCAGATGCAGTATAATTTGGATAAATGTGAGGTTATTCACCTTGAAACTAAAACAAGAAGGCCAATTACTACCTTAATGGCTGTAAATTGGGAGAGAGGAGTGTACAGCAGGACCTAGGTGTCCTTGTGCACCAGTCGCTAAAGGTAAGCATACAGGTACAGCAGGCAGTAAAGAAGACAAATGACATGTTGGCCTTCATTGCGAGAGGTTTTGAGTACAGGAGCAGGGATGTGCTGTTGCAGTTTTACAGGGCCTCGGTGAGACTGCACCTATAATATCCTTTTCTGGGGAAGGACGCTCTTGCTCTCGAGGAAGTGCAGCGAAGGTTTACCAGGCCAATTCTGGGGATGGCGGGTCTGACGTATAAGGATTGACTAGGTAGGGATTGTTTTCGCTAGAGTTCAGATGAATGAGGGGGGAATCTCAGAGACTTATTAAATTCTATCAGGACTAGACAGAGTAGATGCAGGGAGGATGTTCCTGATGGTGGGGGTGTCCTGAACAAGGATCACAATACGAGGATTCGGTGTAGACGATTTAGGACAGAGATGAGGAGGCATTTCTTCACTCAAAGAGTGGTGAGCCTGTGGAATTCATTACCACAGGAAGTAGTTGATGCCAAAACATTGAATATATTCAAGAGGTGATTAGACATAGCACTTGGGGCGAATGGGATCAAAGGTTATGGGGAGAAAGCAGGATTAGGCTATTGAGTTGGACGATCAGCCATGATCATGAAGAATGGCGGAGCAGGCTCGAAGGACCGAATGGCCTCCTCCTGCTCCTATCTTCTATGTTTGACATGGAAACACAGCAACATTCTGCTACAAGAGATCTATACATACTTACCAGACTCAATTCCAAGCATATTTCTACCATAGTGTCCAGACTCTTCAGCTGTTGTTGAGTACGTCAAACGTTCAAAAAGTGATGAAAGTGGGTTGAAAGATAGACAGAGAAAGGTAAGGGTGCACAGTAGAATCCGAGAGCTATCCAGCATACCAAGGGTAGAGGGTGACAACGGTTCTTCCTTTACCTAAATAGAGAAATGTTGTTGCAATAAATACTATAAATAGGAACATTAGGATTAAGATAAGACCATAATAGCCCTTTGGTCTGCTCTATCATTCAGTTAGATCATTGTTGATCAGTACCTTCAAATCTCTCAAAATCATTGCTGAGTAAAAAAAAAAAAACTAGCAATCTTTTTCTTGAAATTTCCAGTTGTTTCTCCAGCATTCAGAGTTTGGAAGCAACAGAACTCCGAATTTCTACTACATTATTTACTGGAAGTCTTATACAACAATGTGTAGTTCTTTTGCCTCTGATGCAGATGTCCTCTGTTCAAGTTTCACCCCAAGGCATGATGGCTAAGGAAGGTGCATTTATAACTCAGTCAACAGGTGGAGTATAAATCTGCAAATTCCTCTAATCCATGCCAATAGCAGGCAATAAGAACAGGAAAGACTCTGGTCAGCCATGTGATGGAAAAAAACATTGGTGCCTCACAATACAGTCAATAGCTACAGACTACAACATTCATGTAAAAGCAACTGTGACTTCAGTGTACTCTAACACACTATAGTAGTCGCACAAACTGCATGCAAGTACAACCATTTGGATTATTCAAACAAGAAAGGAAGGCGAGAGAGACCAAGAGCATGACAGGCAAGTAAACAAGACTCTTAATAAACTTTACAAACAAAGCAAGCTGAAAATGTAAATC